AATGATTTGTTTTATGAACTCAATCGCTCGAACGTTCTATGACGACGATGATGACGATGGACCACGCAATACTCGTATTTAATTGCAGCAGCCATTAACATTATTATGTGTGTGTGATTGGTTCGATTAAAGCGCCAATAAGTAGACTAACAAATTTAGGCCCAGATTAGCTGTGGCGTTTCACGGCTTAACGGCTTTTCACGGCAAAACCGAGAGCATTTGTTTTTTTAATGACTAATCAAAGTTTAATGCAATTGTAGAAAAAATAGACATTTTTGTAAATTTATTTTAAAGAGTAAGTAAGGTCTGCATAATAATTTGTTTTGATTGATTTAAAATTAAAAACAATGTTTTTTTTTTACAGAACTATGCGTTTAGTTTGAATATTAGAGTCGCACAATTATTATTATTTATTTTATCGACAAACAAGGCATCAATTTAAAATGGCGAAAAAGAATCAATACAATAAATAACTTAAACTAACTCGGTGGAAAAATAAGTTTTGCCAAACGTCTAGCTATGCCCCGATTCATAGCAGAGAGAGCAGTCAGAGACCTTATTAGACCTGAAAAAAATTGAGATGAAGAAATAGTTGAGTTTCCTTAAAGAACATAAACATTTTTAAAAACAATTCTGGAAATGCGCGAAAGATAAACAGACTTATTTTTGTTGAATGCCGCTTGAAAGAGCTGTGTAATACTTTGAGCAATTTATTTGAGTAACTAGAAACGCCATTCTTCAACTATTCCAAAAATGTACAGATGTTGAAGCACTGAGGGTGGAATGTGGCAGGTCTTTATTTTCTACACACTCCCAGAATCAGCACAAACCTTTCACACCCCCTCATTGATGATACGTTGTAGAACAATAGATTTTCAAGTCGATTTTTTCGTACAGTTCTCATTTCGACTTGAAATGCATTGTACGATCTACTTGTATTTGGAAACATTCGCTCTCGCACGCTCTCCTATTGTGTCCTTTGACCTTTTTGGCCTACCCTAAAGCCCAAGAAGACGTTGCTAATTTGGCTGGCAATGCATAACAGACGCTGCCCCCACCTCCCTCCCTCCCTGCTTCTCTCCTGCTGCGTGCCGCCTACCCGGCTACCCGTCTACCCGCATACCCAGGGCCTTATTTACAACTGTCTTATTTACTGCCAACTCGAAGCGACGCACACTCGCAAATCCACAACAACAACAACAACAACACAAACATGCTCACAAGCATATCCATGGACACATTCGCTTTGGCAGCTGGCAGAGAGCGATGGCAACATTTTGTGGGTGGCTTATTATCGCCACCTTGCCTTGGGTGTGGAAAGGGAGGGTGGGGGTAGCTGAGACGCTTTTACATTTATTGCTTGTGGATGGGATGCCAAGCATACACACACACACACACACACACACATGCACACACACACACATGCACACACAGACGCGCGCGCTGAAGCATAAATCTTTTGGCACTTTTCATAGTCTACTTTGGCGGGCAGGAACATGAAGTTCATATTCGGAACGGCAGCAAATTTGCAATTTATTTGTTATTGTAATGGGCCCCAGAGCCGCCGGCAGAGAATCATGCAAAGCGCGCCTGCTTGACCATGCCGTTGACGACCATCTGACCTCCACACTTGTGTGGTTTCAATGCCATGTGTGTCTTTGTGTGTGTGCGAGTCCATGCGGCGCGTTCAACTAGAAGGCAGGCGCGAAATGCAAGGACTACAGCAAACGTTTCACTGCAACACCTGCCGCCTGCTCTCTCTCTCTCTCTCTCTCTCTCTCTCTCTGTCTCCCTTTCTCTGTTGCTCTGCTGACAGAGTGGGTCTCTCGTCATTGCTGAGGCATAAGTAAGCCAATAAATCTTGGCGACACGATGTCGACGCAGTGGCTCCAAGTTGGCTGTGGTTTGGCTCTCTATCACACTCCCTATCCCTGCTTTGCACACTCGACTAAAAACTGGCAGCATCGTGCTTAGAAGAAGTCCCAAAAAGCGCATCCTGAGGGTATATATGTAAGCTTATTCCTTAAACCCATAATTGTCTTATTAGCTTCTAATACACGCTTGCCAGAACAATAGATTAAAACAACAACTGTTGAGTCCCTTTTCCCCAATCTGTCTGAATCTGCACGTGGACAATGCAAATAATATTCATATTCATCAGTTTCTATTAAAAGCAATCGAGTTGGATATATTTATTTCCTCCATTTTATTAATTGTTATTCGATTAAATAAAATGTGTCTAATTCGTTAGCATAATACTATGTGTTACTAGAAGGGAAGTGGGGCAGTGTCATAACTAGAGCTAAATACAGTCCATTAAGAATTGGCTGTGCGTAGGAATTCCCACAAGAGTTATGATCGCCCAAAAGGGCCAATATCAGGAGCAAAGACTTGACAACAAGGACAAGAAAGCAATTTAAGGAATAGGAAGTACATGCATTAGAATTAAGCTAGCATCTCAGAAGTACCCCTAACCAAAAAAAAAAAAAGAACCGTACCTTGAGGAAAGTAAAAAGGAAGCTTGTTAGCCGCTCTAAAATGAATAATGCGTGATAATACAGAATATCGGTATTAAAGTAGTTGTTAATAATATCCTAAATATGATGTTTGAAAAGGGTTGAACCGTATCTTTTGACCAACCAATGGTTAAGCCATACAAAAACCTGATACTTGTACACTCTATTGATTCTTCAATTCTTTCTTTTGCATTTTCTATTTAGGCTAAATAAAATCCTTCTTGGTAGAAGCAGCTTTAGACGCCGTAGCTGATTCAAGTACATATATTATTTGCGATTCAATTTGAAGTGCATTTTCTTCGAGTGTAGGCAGGTTTGAAAATTTTAGCGCACACGCACATGTCAATGTCGTCGTTGTTGTTGTTGTTGTTGTTGTTGCGCCTAAAAGCACACTGCACTCACAAATTTTCCGAGCACATTGGCAAGTTTTCCTGCTGCTGTTGTTGTTGCTGCCTTTGTAGCCGCCACTGTTGTTGTAATTGCTTGTTGGCTTAATTTATTGTGCTTTTTTGCGGCTCACGCATTTTCATGCTAGCCCCACATCTATATAGTTGTGTGTGTATTTGTGCGTGTGCGTGTGTGTGTGTGTGTGTGTAGGTATGTGTGCCGTAAACAGTCTGATTAAAAGTCATGGACTTCTCGTCGGTGTTGCCTCCGTTGTTCCCGCCGCCATCATCTCTCAGGCTAATTGAAGTTTAGTGCCGTGGCGGTCGCGTTCGCATTCGCGTTCTCGTCCACGTCCACGTCCATTCACAGGCGCTTCCATAAATCATTTGCATACCTCCAGCGAAGTGTTAAAACTGCCCACACCTGCCGTGGCATGCCACGTTTGGCTGTGCCAATTTATGCGCCTATTTCGCAGTACACAGAAGGTCGTAACTTTGTGTTGAGGTGAATGCATTAGAACATAGATTACTCTCTGATCCAGCTGTACGGCGACTTCTCCCTACATCCTGTTCAAGACTGGCTGGATTATGGCTAACCATCGATCTCTTCGAAAAACCCAATCATATATTTGCAGAAGCTTCGCTTTACCTGAGATAGGCTTAACCTTGAGCATGAGTGTTAGGAGTGGAAAAAATAATAGGAACCTAACTGCATTTTAAGCATAATACTTGTGCTGAACATTTTTACAAATAATTCTTGAACATTCTCTTTTGGTAAACGAGGCACAGACTTCGACTGGGAATATGTAAACCAATCCACGAATTACAAAAACACTATTTAGAGATAACTTAGAAACTAGTTATTCTCGATTTTGAGACTGCCACAGATCCACTGAATGAGGGGGGAAAGTAGGGAAAAGGGATGATTTCTAGAGAGGGTCAATTTCTAGCTGAAAAGGTGTCGTGGGAAAACAACCCTGCCAGCTGTTTCTCAGATCTCGTCCTAGCTCGTCAATAGAAAGAGTGTCAGGCCGATTCGAATGAGAAATTAATGTCGTATGTGACTAAAAAAAACAACCGAATCGAAAATAAGTATATGAGTCGATTCGATTTGTGTTAATCTCTCTAATCTTTAAAGAACTGCTAGTGTATTCAGTAGATTCACCAAATCAGAGAAAGAGAAATTATAAAACTGAATCAGAATTCGAAACAGAAACCGACCGCTCTGCCTTACTATAATATGTATCCAAGCCCAGCAGTATAACTCAATCTTTTATGAGTTATTGTAATGTTATTGCAAGATGTTCCCATTCAATTGTTGGTCGCCTGGCCATTTTTATACCCTGTACCCGTAGGGTAAAAAGGGTATATTAGGTTTGTGCAAAGTATGTAACATGCAGAAGGAAGCATCTCCGACCCCATAAAGTATATATATTCTGAATCAGCATGACGAGAGAAATCGATCTAGACATGTCCGTCCGTCCGTCCGTCTGTCCGTCCGTCTGGATGAACGCGAGGATCTCAGAAACTATAAAAGCTAGAATAACCAACGTTGGCATCCAGATTCTCCTAGGTCCGAGAAAGGACGAGTTTATTTTATTTTTTGGAATTTTTCCCCCCTTTCCCCGCTACAGAATTTCGCCAATAGCGTCCACATTTCAAATGCTACCTAAACCAAACTTTGCACACATAATTTATATATAATTTTCTACTGTTGTTCAATTATTCAATTCGGTCAATTCTAAGAAAAGTTATTAGCGAAACAAATTCTCGCCAGTACAACCTCCCCAAACTGCAGCAACAAGTTCGCTCTTCTTCTTCCTCTTTTTGCTGCTGCTATGGGCGCATATAACTCAGTGACGGAAGTTTACCTGGGTACAGGGTATTACACTGTCGGGCTTGCTCGACTGTAGCGTTCTCTCTTGTTCCATTAGTCTTTGGTAATTGTGTGTGTCCTTTTTGCAAGCCCACACACAGGGCGTATGCGCAACATTAAGTCATGCCAGTAATTAAGCTAACATTATGAAACAATAATCATATTGAATTGCAACTCCTGACCTTTTCCAACATATGTCCTTCCTTTGGTGTTCATTTACAGGTCTCGGCTGGCCAGCATTTGCATCTGAGCAGCGATATGAAGAGCAATGTCTCCGTGGCCGCTCAGCAGGGCGTCTTCTTCAATCAACAGCAGGCTCAGCAGCAGCAGCAGCAGCAACAACAGCAGCAATCTGGCAACGGACCCAACCAGGGCGGCGGGGGTGGACAACAGCCGCAGGGGCACGGAGGCAACAATGCGGGCAGCAACGGCGGCAATGGGGGTCCGAATGCCGCACAGCAACAGCAGCAACCAAATCAAAATATGAACAATTCGAATGGTGAGTGACAAGCAAGATTAGATTTAACATTTTCCCATTGTCCTCGTAATTAACAAGAAAGCCCTCAATAGACGCACTAGCGCATTCAAGAAGTTTCAAATTTCAGAACTAGAATTTGTAGAATGCTTATCTTCAAGAAATGCAAAATGGGGCAGATTATTTAAAATGTATTTAATTGTTATATTTTCAATTGTCCATACTTGTATTTAAAACCTCGATATGATCGCATAAAGAAACACTTCGATACGAATACTTATCGCTTTCGGTTTAGAACCCCCTAGAAAGTGGCAAGAAAAACAATAATAAGTACATAGAGAACATGTAGAAACTAACTAGAAAATAGGAGAACACCAAATGACAAATCGGCGCTAACAATATCCATTACGCGACTGCCTAAGTCCATCAAGATTTGACGTAAAACAAATCTATGTTTAATGCATTAGGAGTTTCTAGATTTCTTTAATGGTAGCCTCCGCTACAATTTTTGTATTATCTTAATTAAATGTTCATATTTTGCTTATTAGGTTTAAACCTAATACGACAATTTTTATTTAAGCATCTAAGCAGTTAATATGTAGGAGTAAAATAAGTAAAAAAGCTAAAGTCGGGTGTCCCGACTTTGAAATACTCTGTACATATGTTTAGAATAATTATAGAAATTAAAAAAGTAAGAGAATTAAAAAAATATATATATATATACATATATTTATGGCTATAACTTCTTGTTAAATCGGTCTATTATAGTGAAACTTGGCACACGGACACATAATAACCAACTGGGGGTATTTCCAAAATTTTCGAAATTCCAAGAATTACGGGAGTTACGATTTGCGGTGGAGAGGGGGGAGGGAGGGAAATTCCAAAATATACATTTTCTGCGTATTCACATAAGGCACCTGGGACTAAAATTTGGTGTTCCTAGGTCTTATAGTCTCCGAGGTATAGGCGATTATACGAATGGAAAATCGGGAAAACCCCCATAGGTGGGAAGTGGGAGGGGGGGGGGGGGGGGGGGGGGGGGGGAAATAAAAAAAAACAAAACAAACTCGTATAGAATACACACATATGGCATCTTTGTGCAAAATTTGGTGTCTCTAGCTCTTATAGTCTCTGAGATCTAGGTGATCATACGGACGGACGGACAGACAGACAGGTCTAGATCGACTCGTCTCGTCATGCTGATCAAGAATATATATACTTAGTGGGGTCTGCCACGCCTCCTTCTGCCTGTTACATTTTCAGCTCCCGCAAACCTAATATACTCTTGTACATTTCATGTACAGAGTATAAATATGGCTTACCTTATTTGTGACACTCGCTTCGAGATCACTTTGATTTCATTTTAATCAGAAAACTAAGCTATGCGTGCAAAACTCAAATTCAGATTCTCAAATTCCAACTAATTGTCGATTCTCATTTACTTGCAGTACCCTCCGATGGCTTCTCGCTCTCCCAAAGCCAAAGCTTGAGCTTCAGCCAGCAACAGCAACAGGCGGCAGCTGCAGCGGCGGCCCAACAGCAACAACAACAGCAGCAACAGGTGCCGCCCAACATGCGTCAGCGTCAAACGCAAGCGCAGGCGGCAGCAGCAGCGGCCGCGGCAGCAGCTGCGCAAGCGCAGGCAGCGGCCAACGCCGGAGGACCCAATGGCCCGCACAGTGTCGCAGGAGGCAATGGCGGTCCTGTTGGTGGGCCAGGAGGAATGCCGAATGCAGCAACGCTGATGCAACAGCAGCAGGCGGCGCAGGCTGGCGGACCCTCCGCCGGACCCAACAGTGGTGCAATGAATCAGGGCATGGGCGGTGTGCCCATGGGTGGCATGCCGGGCATGGGGCAAATGGGTGGTGCACCCAACGGTGGCCCCAACGGCGGCATGATGAATCCTATGAATCCGAATGGCATGTCCAATGCACAAATGATGATGGGCGGCGGCGGCGGTGGTGGTGGTGGTGGTGGCGCAGGCAGTGGCGGCGTCCCTGGACCACCGAATCTCAGTCAAGCCAAATTCCTGCAGCAGCAGCAAATGATGCGCGCCCAGGCGATGCAACAGCACATGGCCGGCGCTCGACCGCCCCCTCCCGAATACAATGCAACCAAGGCCCAGCTGATGCAGGCACAAATGATGCAGCAGACAGTGGGCGGCGGTGGCGGTGGTGCCGGTGGTCGCTTTCCGAACAGCGCCGCCCAAGCGGCTGCCATGCGTCGCATGACCCAACAGCCCATTCCACCGTCGGGTCCTATGATGCGGCCCCAGCATGCGGCCATGTACGCCATGCAGCATGGTGGCGGTGGTGGTGGGCCTCGTGGTGGCGCTGGCATGCCCTACGGTGGCGCTGGCCCTATGGGTGCCGGACAGCAGCGTCCCCCAAATGTCCAGGTGACAGCCGATGGCATGCCCATGGGTTCCCAGCAGGAGTGGCGACACATGATGATGACACAACAGCAACAACAGCAGCAGCAACAACAGCAAATGGGCTTTGGTGGTCCGGGTGGACCAATGCGCCAAGGACCAGGCGGTTTCAATGGTGGTAAGTAATACAAGGACGATGCAATCGAAGCTCTCAATACTCTGCATTAAATGCATTCGATGTCGGGAAGGCAGTCAAAATGTTGGTATAGAGTTGACTTCTTATTGGATTCATCAGAACCCCCAACGACCAAACCAAAAGGTGCGCCAAAATACGTAGTTCTTATACCCTAGATCTGAAGGTATAGGCTGGTTGTGAGTCTGCTTGCCTTTCCTTGAAGTTGCAGGAGGAGCTGCCGTTCTTATATGCTCCTTCGTCCCCGCTGCTGTAGAGCGCTCTAAGGGAGATGAGTTTGTCAAAGTTTGTCCTCCCTTTGTCAGAGTGTCCGCCATCAATAGTCCTAAGGCGTCTCTGCTTTTGAGAACATTTTTGAAGCAGTTGGACACCTGCAAAGATTTTGAAGTTCGTTGCCTTCCACCTACTAAATGGTAAATGTTTGTTAGGTCGCCCTTCGAGAAACCTCTTTTCTGAACCTACTTGTAAATATCTATCGATGTAGGGTATAGTAGAGAGTTCGATTGCTGCGCTCCGTTTACTTGTATTGGACATCAAAACTAATGTTATGTTTCGGAATTGCAGTTAACTTTATGCCGAATGCTGGAGGTGGACCCAATGCGCCGGGCAGTGGACCTGGCATGATGGGCGGCGGGGGACCGGGCGTTCCAAATGGCGGCCAAATGCAGCTGACGCCGGCGCAAATGCAGCAGCAGTTGATGCGGCAGCAGCACATGCAGCAGCAGCAGCAACAGCTGGCGGGGCCCGGCAGCGGACCAAACAACATGCAGATGCAACAGCTGCTGCAGCAGCAGCAACAGCAGGCGGCCAACGCGGGTCCTGGCCCCAATGTGAACATGATGGCCCAAATGCAGATGTCCAGCATGCACATGAGCCAGACCCAGCAGCAGATCACGATGCAGCAGCAGCAGCAGTTTGTGCAGCAGACGACAAGCAGCAGCAGCAGCAGCGCCTCCCACCAGCAACAGCTGCTGCAGCAGCTGGCGCCGAGCAACAACAATGCGGGACAGAATGCGAACGGACAGGCGAACATCAGCGGCAGCTCCTCGACGACCATCGCCAGCGCCAGCTCCATCAGCCAGACGATCAACTCGGTGGTGGAGAACTCGACTGATTTGTGTCTCGAATTCCTGGACAACCTGCCCGTGGACAGCAGCAACTTCTCTACGCAGGACTTGATCAACTCGTTGGACAATGACAATTTCAATTTGCAGGATATCTTGCAGTAAGCACCGATGCCGGCAAGCCGAGAAAGACAGAGTCCGAGTGGGAGAGCGGAGAGATTCCGAGAGAGAATAAAGAAGAGAAGAGAAGAGAAGAGGCGAGGAGAGGAGAGCGCGTTTGCAAGTTGTTATCGCTGTCGTTGTTACCTGTTTTTGTTGTTGTTATTTATGGCATTGTGTTGTGCGTTTATGTTCCGGCCATGCCCCCACACGCAGATGCAGATGCAGCTGCAGCTGCTGGATCTGCCTCCACTTTATAAAATAGTTCATTTCTCTTTGTTATTTGTGTGAATTTATACTCGTAATGTCTAGTTTGTATTTTATTTTTAAGTATTCGTGTAATGTATGAGGAGTGTAGGCTCTGCCAGGCGCCGGGGCGACGTGCATCGCAGACATTCCATATGTAACAGATTTCTAAATCTACAATACGAGCCTAACGAGTTAAGTGAACAGAAAAGTATTCGCAAGTACTTGAAATGTGAATGAACCATTGTTGTTGTTGTGAGAGACGGCCGAGTGGGCCAACTAACTAGCTTGAAACTTAAGCAGTTGTACTTAATTATAAACGTCTTGCCACGCCCAACCGGCACGAGCCCCAAACACGTCAGCCTCGCAGCGACTGGCAGCTCCACTTGATTTTACTTAAGGGGAGACACACACACAAACACACCAACATTTATTAATTGTAGTGAAAAGAACCAACAACATTTGTAAGCAAACAAAACACAAAATAGCTGTATATTTTATAATTAGTTTATTTAATTTTTTATACACACAAAAAAGGGGGAAAAGTAAAAAACAAACAAACAAAAAAAATGCATACGAAGAAGCAAAAATATTGGTGATATTTTAATTGCTTAACAAAATGACAAAAAAAAAAAGAAGAGAAACCATTTACAAAAAAAAGAGCAAAGTGAAAGCAAAATTTTAAAATATTGCATAAAACGGTTATTGTGTATTATGATTACAATTGTACATTATTTTTTTGTAAGCTTAAGTTTAAATGAAATTTTTAAAGCAGTTGCGACACAGCGTAGTAAACAAAAATAAGAACAAGCTATGCATATTAAAAGAATATAGTTTATATATATATTCTATATAGGAATAATAAATATGTTTGCAGAATATTATTGATAATATTACACGTAGTTTTCGGTAGTGAAATAAACACTTTAGTAGTTTGTTAAAAATAAATCCATACATACAACATATATATATATATATAGACATATATATATATATATATATATATATATATATATATATATATATATATATATATATATATATATTCATGCATATTATGAGATATATATTTACTATTATTAGAAGCAGCAACGTAAATGGCATGGAAGTCGTCGCCAAGCAAACTCCTCACTTGTAGCTCAAAACCAACGCTGGCCGCGCTCATTACCAAGTAATGTTGCTTGCCACGCCCACAAGCCAGCCGACAGTCCCACAGCTATTCCAGGAAGAAATTAATTGAGAAATTCCATAATTTGTAGCGCCGCCACTTCCAGACACATCTAATAAAGCGACATTGAAAACAAACAGAAATATACATTAATTGCCTAATAGTTAAAAGAAAAAAAAGAGAAGAGAACGCGTAGCAAAAGTATTTAAGCCGAAAACAAACAAAAAAACAAAGAAAACTCTAAAACAAAATCATTATTATAAAAAAAATATATAAACTTAAAATTACGGTAATTAAAAATACAAGTGGTAGTTTGTAACTTTTTCGCAAAACGTGAACTTGTTTATAATTATTGAATAATAAACTGAAATTATATATACACACATTATTATTAAATATAAAATTATATATATTATATATACAACACACATTACTACTTATATGACATATTACTGCATATACATACATCTTTATATATATACATATATATTTCAAAGGAACGTAGAGCGCCAGCCGCATTACACGCAAAACGTTGAAGAAAAACTTAGAACAAAAAAAAAAAAACGAAAAAACAAAAAATTGATCGCCTAAGAAGGAAAGTCAATATCAATTAAATGCGAACAGCTGCCAGCGTGCAAAACAAACTTAAGAACAACAAAAATCATACGAAATTTAACAATTAATGTAAACAAGCAACAGTAGTAAATGCCAATCAAATGCAACCTTAATTTTAGCTCGTACATTTTAGAAAACAATACCGAAAATATTGTAATCGATGGCATCCAACACTTTGTGTGGTTAGAAGGAAGCTATAAAGGCCAATTGCTGTTTTTTTTACAACGATTTTTGTGTTAAGCCAAATTGTTTGGTGCCTAGGTCTTCGGTTTGCCGTTATCTTCATAATTATTCTGTTATCCTTGGAGATTTGTGAACAAATTTGCTTCAAAGACGGAAGGCAACATAATTTGACTTGTAGATTTTTCTTTGAAAATTCAAAACAAGAGAAAAGAGCCACAAAATAAAATAGTAAAAATATTACTTTTGTAAATAAAAATACTCAGTTGTTTTATTTATGGATATGAAAATCTATTTAGGTATACACATACTTCCTGTTCAAATTTAAAAGATGTTTTGGGACGCTAGAATATGCTGCAATACTGTGTAAATCAGCTTTATACTGCGTGCTTAGTGTCGATTTAATGTCCTTGCGTTGGCGGCATAAACTTCTATGGAGTGGTCCGATCCGTTAGGGTTGAAAAAAGGGAATATTACGGAGAACTGAATGATATATGAACTCGTTATATAGCGAGAGTAGCATCTTCACTGGACATTAAATTTAATACCCTCTAACTCGTTATGTATCGAAACAAACCAAATTTGAATCTTTTTGCATGGCTCAAGTCGTCAGTTGGAAAAATGTTTTGCATATGGCACAAAAAACTGCTTACCAGGCGAACAGAATCGAGAAAAAGTAGAACGTAAATAAATCAACTGCCTAAAAGTATGCTGCATTTTTTCGTTTGAGGCACTTTGTTGCGACGCATTTGTACCTAAGCTTTTGCATGTTGCAGCAACTGTGTTTATAAATATGCTTTTCAGGCTAAGCTGGAGGGAAATTTGTTAAATTAAACTGCACGTAATAATCTATTCTTAAAAAAAAAAAAAATCGTTATGAATGCGTGGTATCTCATACATTTAATAAGGAAAAGTAATTTTCTTTGTAGTTTTCATTTATTTCATATTTATTTATTTTCTTCATACTCATGTTCATAATACATAATTTCATATTGTATGACTTAATTTAAATAATGTTTAATAATTTTTAATACATTTTCCCATGCTATAAATGTGTATATGTGTGTGAGTGTGTGCTTTAATTGTTTAACATTATCAAGGTGTATATTATGCATATCCAATATATAGCGTTTAATATTTTGCATTCATTTCAAAATGCGTACAATTTATATGAGCGTTAATATATAATTTTACATACATAGGTAGGAATTGCATTAGAGTTCTACAACGCTGTTGACTTCAAATTAAGCCATCGGGCTGCGAGAATTCTGTGAATGTTAAATGTTAAACTAAAAGCGAATTACAAATAATTAGCAACTATTGCGGGAACTAAAAAGTGTGCTAAAATCTAATTAGTTGCTAGGTTCTTGCCAATATTTTTGTTTATATAATAACTTTTTAACACTTAGACTCTAAGTTAATGAAAAGGTGCGACCTCTCAACTCTCAATCGTGTTTAAATTTGCGGGCATTTTAAATATTTGATTATAGCAATATATTGTAAATGCATATCTTTGCTTGTAAAACTGCATTCTTTCTTTGTTGTATTTCTCTTTTTCTTGCATTCTATAAATATGCTTGTTATGTTGAAGCAATTTGCTAGTTTATAAACCGTTTCGTTTACCGTGTAAATGTCTATCCTTTTCGTTATGCAATAAAATCAGCCTTAGTCATAATAATTGTTACTTTATGAGTACGCACTAATAACGTTTGCATTATTATTTCTTTCCATTTCTTCCACGTTTGTTTTTTCTTTGTAATAAGATTCTTGTCCATTATTTGCCGTAGGTGCTTACAAATATTTAAGAACGGTTTATTGATTAATTCAGCTTTGTTTCAAATGGAAACAAAGTACCTTTTGCAAGTTAAAGTTTTTCTCTAAAAAACAATTATACAAAAAAGTGTTTAAAAGTAAAAATATGTAAATTTTGCTAGCAAAAATTTACCATTTCCTTTTGTTTCCTTTTTATGATTTTTCATAAAATATGACGTTTTATAAATGTTGATTTAAAAATCCGTTCAATTATTTAGTTTACTTGACTCTGTTTGACTTGAAATTCGTCTAAATGCGCAAATTCAAATATCATTATTGCCATTAAAACGCACACTAAATATTAACGCTAATATTATTAATTGTTTAATATTTTGTGCATTTCGTAATTTCGTATTACGTTACTTGAATGCCAGCTAATTGAATGGATGGATACTGAAGAAATGCATTTGAAATAAACATGCCGTTGCGCCTTTTCAAAACGCGTTAAAACTCAAAAATAAAAACGAATATGTGTGCCAAGAGTCGACACTAATTCAGAAATGTATGCTCGAAAACAAGCTAAAAAGGATGTGGTTTGTGACAGAAAATGCTGCTGCTCCTTCTTAGCTTGCTTTCAATGGCCAACTTAAAAGTAAGTTTTACATGTGTATATACGTATGATAATTAATTATTTTACTTAGATATTGCAATTAAGATTGTTATGCTTTATGCCTGTTTAAAATATTGTTACATCTTGTTCTTTCATAAATTTATATCACACATAAATAATAAAATTATAAGTTCTATGCTCGAGAATACGAATTACAACTCCTTGACGAATGCTAACGTTTCATTTCTCCCCTTGTTTTTTTTTTTTTTTGTTTGTGCATGAATCCGTGTGAACATGTTTATCTGAATAATGCATTTTATTATTAAATTTTCCGTAACTTGTACTTATGTACTTATATATATATATATGTATATTTTTTGTTTGTTGGCTTAACAATATGCGCCATTTTGGGAGTAACGTTAATTTATCGATTATTGATTGCTTGCCCAAAAGTGGCAAGAAATGAAAATGTTGCTGGCAACATGTGGCCAGGCAACGTGCAATGCGCATGTGTGAGTGAGTGAGTTTAAGTTTAAGTGAGTGCGAATGCGATTCGTTGTGAATGGCAATGACTGTTAACCCAACTAACTACTATGCTAGCTATCGAGCGATTTGGCAAATGGTTTGTTTACAACACCTCCTGCATGCCACTTCAATGCAGCCGGTGGTGATTGGTCTTGGGCATGGCGCCGACAATGCGGACGCGCCCTAATGTGCCAACGGCACCAGCGCCAGCGCCACCAGCAACACGTTGCTGCTGCTGCTGCTGCTGTTGTTGTTGGTGCTGCTGCTGCTGCTGTTGTTGTTGCTGCTGCTGTTGCAGATGCAGCTGTTGCTGTTGGTGCTGCTGCTGCAGCATTTGAAGCTGCTGCTGATGCTGCTGCTGCTGGTGACGTTGCAGTTGCAGCTGCTGCTGCTGCTGCTGTATTTGGATCTGTTGTTGTTGCTGTTGCTGCTGCTGCTGCAGTTGCTGTGGATGGTACTGCGGAGGCAGCTGTGGCGCGTGCTTGGCATCATTGCAATCGCAGAACTGCGGCGGTGGCGCCAACACCAAATTATCCGCGCACATCTGCAGGTTGTTGTTGCCCGGCTGCGCCACAACCGCATTGGGAACAACAGCAGCAGCGGCAGCGGCAGCGGTGGCAACATTTACACCCATCCCAGCCACCATATGATGACCCATCGGCGTCAAAACTCCTACAATGTGCGTGGATGGACCCACCCCGCCTCCTAGTTCGCCATCGCTGTCTGCCTCCAGTGGTGGTGGCAGCTGCACCAGCGACACGGCCGAGGTTCGCGTTACTCCACGTTGCATGGCAATGGCTGCCGCCTGCTTGCGGGTCAGAGAGTTGTGCCGCTGGAAAGCCTTGGCCGGCGGTGAGGGACTCAGGTCTCCATCGTCATCCTCCAGATCGGAACGTTGCTCTAACTCCGAGTCATTGCCGCCGCCACTGTGGCTCTTATGCAGCTGTTGCTGTTGTTTCGCCACCAAAGCGGCTGTGTTGCTGGCACCACCCGCGGCTGCTGCCTTGGCCTTTAGGATTTGCTGCAAGTGCTGCTGATGCGCGAGCTGCTGTTGTTGCTGCTGCAATATTTGCTGTTGTGTGGCAATTAATTTCTGATTGGGATTGGCCTGATGCTGCTGAAGCTGTTGTTGTTGCTGAAGCTGTTGGTGGTGATGCACATTGGGAATGCGACCGAGCAGCTGTGGGCTAAGCACCTGCGGATTAATGCCAGCAGCAGCAAGCTTTGCATTGGTCTGTTGCAACAATTTGCTGCCATGAGGCATGCCAGAGGACTTGGTGGCCAGCTTTTGTTGCTGTTGCTGTTGCTGCTGCTGCTGCTGAATGAGTGGCGCATGTTGTTGTTGCACCAATTGTTTGACTGTGATGGTGGTTGGGGTGGTGTTGTTGTTGTGATTATTGCCCGCATTATTGTTGAGATTGTTGGCTGCTGCTGTTGACTTAGTTGCTGCCTCATAGGCGGCAGCTGCGTGCGCCACGTTCGTGCCACTATTAATACTGGTCGCAGTCGTGGCTGCTCCTCCTGTTGATCCACCACCAATAGTTATGGTTGTCTTTGCTTGCGTCAAGGAGCTGCTTACAGCTGTTACCTTGGGCTGCTGCGGTTCTTCAGTCGAACCAGCGCGAGTTGGTATTGTCTTGGGTTGCTCCACAATCGTCACGCTCGGCTTCTTCTTGATAGTGTCTGTTAGCTTGCCACCGCTGGCAATCATTTCCTGATCACTGCTCACACCAGAGGAGCTATTGTCGCACTCATCCTCAGGAGCAGGCCCGGGGCGTCCATTGGCTGCCGGCTGATTGGCTGCTGTGGACGGAGGTTGCTCCTGCTGGAGTTGCTGTTGCTGATGGGATTGCTGCTCCGGCTTATGGAAGCCATTGGGCGAAGATTTCGAAGTCTTCAGATTACTCCGTATGCGCTGGATTTCATCAACGGATAGCGAATGGGAGATGGATGCACTACCAGATCCTGAACTGCTGCCACTGTGGAGAGAGAGTGAGTTAGGCGTACTTTATTTAAATGTTTCATCGGGAATTGATCAATCTATGAGTGTCCGAAATTACTGAATATATTCAATTAATCGAATAGAACTGTACTTTCTTAGATAATCCATTTCTACAATCCACTTTCAAAAGCCCATCTCTATAGTTTTTTGGAAATATACCATTCCGATTCCACACAATGGAATCGAATTCGAATATAGGAACACGATTGAATATGAAATTTGATTAATTACATACAGGTCCATCGAAAATATTAAAGATTTGGATTGAAAGAGTGTTTTGAATGATATTTAGGTGAATATTAATACTATAGATCACATCGTATTTCATATTTCTAATATTTGTTTCAAAGATGGTGATTAACTGTTTTGTTTAAAGCTTTTAGACCCAACTTATTAGGGTTTCTAGACGTGAAAACGTCATGCGTCAAACGAACTGATCTTCAAATATGTTGAAAAATAAATCCTAAACGACTCTAGGACCCAAAAATCGGTTTGTTAATCTATAATTTGATGATTACCTAGCCTGACTGTTGCCACTCGTTTCGGGGACATCGAAGAGCGCGATTTTCTCGTTGAGCTTCGTGTTGCGTGCAACGAGAATGGAATTCTCATCCTCGCCATCCGACTCGCTGCAGCTGTAGTCCGGTTCGGGTATGGGCGGGGCCGTTCCAGGCGCTGTTGGGGCTGCTGTTCCATGGCCATTCTGTGTCTGCGCAGACAAAGGCGCAGCATCCTCCTGCTGTGGTTGCTGCTGTGCCGGCTGTGGAGGCTGTTGTTGCTGCTGTTGCTGCTGTTGTTGTTGTTGTTGTTGCACCTGTGGAGCTGCATAATGGGAAGCGGGGCCTGTTGTTGTTGTTGACGCTACTTGAGCACGGAGTTGTGTGGGTGCGGCATACTGACTGACCACCGGAGGTGTTGCTGGAGGTGCCGCTGCTGCTGCTGCTGTTGCTGTTGTTGGTGTGGCTTGGGAGGCTGTGTTGGGTGCCTTCTCCTGACCTGACTGCCGCAGCTTCCAAGCCATCACATTGCGCAGCTCCTGCGGCGAGGCATATATCTTGGCATTGGCCGAGGGATTGAAGCTAGACTGTACACCATCAATGGCCGCCGAGGTCACGGCATCGTTTTCGGCACGTTTCACCAACTTCTGCTGCAACGAAACAGTGCTCTCGTACTCCGAGGTGCTGCTGCGCGTCTCCACCTTGACAACTTGTCCAACAGGCGGCGGCGGTGGTGGATGATTGGGCGGTGGTAGCTGCGCGGCGCTAGACTTTGCAGCCGCCTCAGCAACAGAAGCAGCAGCGCCGGCGCTTGTGTTCAGTCGCTGGAGGGACGCATGTAATGTGGCCACATCATCCTGTGAGTGATGGCCCTTGCCTGCTGCCTGCCAAATGGACGAGGCAGAGCCGTGCAATTGTGAGTTCAGATCGGGCGTGGAATGGAAGCGCTTTAGATCGCGACCAGCGCCACCGGCTGAGCCAACAGTTGGGGTGGCCACCGGTTTGCCACGTAGCGTTCCACTGCCGTGCTTCGCTTTAGCCGTCTTTCGCTTCATCTCGGCCACACTGCCGTAGACTAATGGTCCGGCAGAGCGCATTGGTGAACTGTTACTAGCTGGGGGCGTGGCAGCTCCACTGTCTGTGCCCGATTGGAAGCGCGATGTGGTCATCATGGTGGAGTAACGATTGGCGCCTCCTTCGGCGTTTCCCTCCCCCTGCTGGCGTTGGAAGAGCTCTTCGAGCTCCGCGGCCGTAATGCGACTGGATGTTGGACGCGCCTTGATGCTAGCGGTGCGTAGCTGCACCGGCGTCCCAGGATGGGTGGGGGTGGGCGTCACAATGGACTCCACCGAAGAGGATTTAGTGTGGGGAACATCATCGTCTTCCTTCTCACCGCCATTCTCAAGGCCAGCCACCATCGACTTAGCACGCGCGCGTCCCACACTGAGCGTCGTCTTGGGATCGCGACGTGGTGGCATGGGAGCCATGCGGACACTGCCGCCGCCTGCCTGCCCGGCCACCATGCCCGACATCTTGCGTGGCAAGGTGGCGCATTGGCGATGCGAACTCTGTGGCGTGCTGGGTCCGCTGTTCAAGTGCTGGCTGCCAGCGCGTGCTCCGCTGGGCAAGTACTGGACACTGGCCTGCATCTGGTTGGGAAACTGGGGCGAGATTACGGTCATGGTGACCAGGGCGCCCGCAGAACGTATCATTTCTACCACTTTTTCGTGCGAGGCGGCGCTAACGTCCTCGCCATTGATGGTCAACAAGAAGTCGCCCGGCTTGAGACCCGCCATGTCCGCCACACCGCCCGGGTCAACATCGTCCAGATACTGCAGTGCTGGAAACCGTTCGGACGGACGCAGCTGCATGAGCTGTGAGGAGGCTTTGGCACCCCGAAGTATGAAACCGAAGCCACGTTTGGCACGATGCAGCACCACAGTGCGTGGCTCATTGTAGGCGCTGTAATATATCGAGCATTAGAGAAGGCTTCATCTGTAAAGTACCTCATCACTTACCTCTTTTTGATACGCGGAGCTGTGGCACTGCTGTACTGTCCAATGGAATGGTTGTTCACCGTCTGCACATGTGCCTGAGCCTGCATTTGTCCAATGTGAGCTGTGCCCTCCAGCTGCTGCTGCTGGCAGGATCCGTTGCTGTTCAGCGACAGTGAGGGCGACTGATGAGGCTGCTGCAGCAGTGTACTCGAGCTGCCCGAGTGCCCGCCCAGACTCAGTTGGGGCGAACCCTGATGCAAGCCCAGGCTCGAGGCAGCTGGCGAGTGCTGGTACGGCGACTGCTGCGAGGGAATACCCGCCTGCTGTTGTTGCTGCTGCTGTTGTGGAGTCATGCCGGTGCTGGCGGTCATCACGTTGGTGATGTTCTTCTGCCGCAGATTCACCTCCTGGACACAGTCGGCGGGAAAGAAGCCGGACTGTTGGGTGCCCCGCACATAGCCCTCCAGCAAGCCGCAGTCGGTACTGCCCACCACCTCGATGACATCACCGGGCTGCAGGCGTATGTGGCCCGCGGTGTTGCCTCCATAGGGCTCCATGCACACCACCGTTGTGCTGGGGTGTCCAATCGAGCAGGCCGCCGAGTCGGAGTTGGTGCCCACGCCCGAAGAGTCGCTGATGATGTCGCTGGTATCTCCAAGCGATTTGTCTAAAGGGTGCCAGACAGAAAAGTTGATGAGTGAGTTAGCCTTTCAGTTCTGGCACTGACTGCGCTGCTGATGATGGCAACGACAGCGACAACGACGACTCATCCATGTAGTATGGACGACGGGTTTGTGTAATTTGTAAGTATATGGAAAATGTATATATAGTACATATATACATATATATATATGTACATATGTATGTACCTATGTATGTGTATGTTTGTTTGTGTGGGTTGGCGAACACATTAAAACTTAATCAAGAGCGGCACACAAACACAAGCGGAGCTGGGATGACTACACACATAAATACTTATAGGTACATACTTGTATATATATATAGTAAAAGAATATACACAACTAATTCAGAGGGGATACAACGCACATAGAAGTATTATGAAGCATGGCTTTGAGTTTCGATGGTATGGGTTTGGGGCATGCAGTTTTGCGGCTTGTACATGGACGAGGACATGCTTCAAAGCAGCTTATAATTATTTAAAGTTGATTATGCGATAAACCTTTGCATTTCATTATAAAACATGAAACTATAACGGTGCAAGTTGTATTTACATAACAAACGCATAAGAAAAGCGCCAATTTTAAAGGAAATCCTATAGCTATTAAAAATATTGAGTAAAGCGGCTATAAGTAAAATCGATTTGAAATGCGAGCCCTTTGCTATAACATTTCGAGTGTACTGTAGAATCAAAACATACATAGTATGTTTCCTAACCATATGCCATCTAACTTAAAATATCAGCCTCATCTGAGCAGACTTCGAAAATACATTCGTTACTGATCAATAAAAGATTACTCTATATATTTTGACACTGGCGACTTGGAATCCATGCGTCTTGCACTACCTAGTTACAGAGTTATAGTTACAGACAACCCAATGATCAGTTGCAGTTAGACAATCTCCTTAAATATGATGCCTTAACTAGACGTTGAAGGCGGACAAATGGGAACTACAAGTAGACCTCAGCAACATACTTGCAGAGCAAAGGGCATAATTGGAGCAATATATTTAAGCACATTATCAGAACGGTGAAAAGTGGCGATGCATGGAGATGTGATAAAGAAAAATATATATGTAGGTACGAAAAATATGTATTTCAAATGCTTAAGTTATTTAAAGAGAGTTTTGGTTTCGGAAAAAAGAAAATACGTGTTTTATAGCATACAATACAAGTAAACTTCCTATGAATTAAGGAGCAGAAGCATTCAAAAAACTTGCAAGCGCAATATACTTATCTCCATTTCGTAATCGATTCTCTTATTCGACATTAGCCCTTCAATACAAGTAGTTATACAAATAACGTGAGGTACTTGACAAAATTTAACTTAAGGCAATTATAATTAAAGTGCAAATAAATGAAAGGTAATAGGTATTTGGCTTTACCTGTCACAATGCTGATGTCATCCTCGTGCGAGCGATGTCCGGACGAGCCCTCCGACAAACTCGAACTGGCCGAACTGTATGGCATGTGCTCGGACGGGCACGGCGATGGCGGCCCGTGCAGCTGCAGGTGCGGCTGATGGTGCTGGTGGTGCAGATGCTGGTGGTGCTGTGGCTGCTGATTGTGTTGCGGCATGTGCTGCTGCTGCAGCTGGGACGGAGGGGGCAGCAGTGTGCTATGCCGCGACAATGTCCCCATCACGCCGCCTCCCCCGCCCATGCCGGGAGCAACAACAGCGCCGCCATTGGCCACACCACCAAGGCCGCCAGCTGCAGCGATCAGGGCAGCACCGGAGGCACCATTGGCGCTTAGCCAGCCAATGCCCGAGCGACGCTTCGGATTGTAGCGTGGCGGTCCGCGAAAGGGAACTGTGGTGTGGAGCAGGAATAGTTTCGATAGTTTGTTGGTTTTCTTCTTGTCTGTTTTGTGGTCTATATAGTTAAGTGTGGATTGCGGACGGGCTGTGGTTCGGGCTTAGAGTTGAGGTTGGGGTTGGGGTTGGGGCTTGGGTCAGGATGCGGGTTATTTATGCTTTTCAGATGGAATACGCTGCCCATTCTGTTGTGGCTTTTGTTATTTATGGTTCGGGTTCAACGCTTTGCTCTCTACTCAATCGGTTTTTTTTTTTGTATTTCGCTAAATGAATTGAAATGAACAAACGAAAAAGTAAATCCTGGCACTTTAATCTCGACTGTATCTGTATTTGTGGCCTACGGGGACTCTGACGCTAGCATGTTCTGAAATTGAACGCTTTACTTACTTTCAATTACGCTGCCTTTGGGCAGATCGGGAGGGTAGCGGTACCGATGGACCATCGCAAAAACAAAATACAACGAGGCAATAAACATTCTAAAAATGTTTCAAAACAAACAACAACTTGCTAAAGACATGATATTACTTTGGATATATATATTATATGAGTATGTAAATATATGCATTACACTATAATGCTAAAAAACATGTACGAGTATGTAACAAAACATTGAACAAGACAGCCAAAAAAGTCGGCAACAAACGTGTGAATTGAGAAATGCAAAACGAGTACGAGAAAAGTTTCAACTAAGTATAGTAGAGTAGAATTGAAAATTGACAAGCAAAGGCGAAAATATGCAATACAAATATATATATATATATATACGGGTATATGGTAAAAACGGATGTAGTAGTAGATATATAGAAATGCTGTTTAGAAATGTTTCGAGTACAGGTCAAATGTTTGATCCCTAAATGTATTTATGATGAAATTTCTTGTGATGGAAATGCAAAAAATGCAGTTAAGCATTGATTGATTGATTGACTGACTGAATGAATGAATGGTTGATATGGGAGCGGGGGTGTTCTGTTGAGCTTTAAGTGTTTGCTTCAACAAATACTAAAAATAACTATACAAAAAATATACAAATTTATCCAAACAAGTGAAACATATACTATAGATTGAGTAGAGAAGCCTCAATGAGAATCAAACTACTATATACTTATATAGTATACGGCTCGATGGATCAAATTGCAATTAAGTATTCAATTCGCCGAACAAAAATGCAGCGTTACAAACAAACAAAAACTAAATCAGAAAATTACAAAAAATAATTGACAGATGATTAAGAAATATTTAACACTGCTTTGTCTGAGTTGGGTGGATAACGTGAGTAAAGAAGTAGGACTGGTATTAAAATCGGCCAAAAAATAGGGACATTAATGTGTATATGAAACAAATAAGAGCCCATAAAACAGACTAATTTTTGTCGAAGTTTTCTCTTCAATATTACGTAAAATTTGAATGTTTAACCATCGCCTTAATTTGAAAATAAGAATCATTATGTTTGCCAATAAATGTTTAAAAAAATCTTAGGCGAGTTCTTAAAGAAATTCAGAGTTTGGTTAGGAAAATTGGCGAACTTAGCAACTTTGTACTTTGCATATGAAATACAATATATAGTACATATATGATAACAAGTTTCCCTTAAAGTTTTGGTTATTTTATTAGCCTTCAGTTTATTTATATATCTTGCAATTAATGTGCGAAATCAAACACTATAAGTAGTATGTTCCAATACCTAACACAATTTGTGAGAGTTTGAAGACAGAATTTCTTGCAAAATGTAGTTCATGGATATTAGCTATATAGTACGTACTATACTATATACAGTATGTGGATATGTGAGCCAATCATTTCACATGGAAACTCTTCTTTGTAAAATTAAAAAGGTAATTTAATTAATGGAATGTGAATGAGTTTTGTTTTGTCGAATGGATGCAGAGGGGGACTTGGATGGGCTGTTGAATGAGTTTGTACGACTGTGGTGGTGCGCTTAGCTTCACTTACCAATATCCTCCGATTTGTAGTTCTCGATTATTTCGGCCAGTTCCAGGTTACCCGCAATAACAGCAACCTAAAGCATACAGCACAGTTGGATTAGTCAGGGTTAGAATACAAAAATGAGGAATGCCAACATTCTGAGAGTAGAATTACGAGCAAAACTACTTAACTAATTACGTACGATTACGATTTAAAATTAATTGTAAGCAAAAGAGTACCAGCTACATATTACATATTACATACGAGTATTACGTATTACATACTTCTATATTGATTTTGATATTGATTGCTTGACTTGACTTGTTGTTGGTTTTTGTTGAATCGTTTTAAATACCTGATAGGGAGTTTGGTTGGCAAAGTTCTGGGCACCGCGTTGTGCGCCACGAAAGAGAAGCATTCTAGCACAAGCCTCTTGGTTGTTAACAGCGCATACATGCAACGGGCTATTACCGGACGCATTGCGACCATCCATGTCCGCACCATAAAATAGCAAGTGTTCCAAATGCTGCACCAGGCCGTGCCGACAGGCCTTCATAGTTCAGTTCAAAGTTCATAGTGGTAGTGGTAGTGTGTGCAATTAGACATTCGCAAATTAGTTAAGAAGAGGAAGCAGCGGTAAAGTTAGCGAAAAGAGAAAAAATTCATCTGATTAGCGTAAACGTAATTTTGTTGATTTTTGTTTCTGGGAATGGAAAACTAATCGACCGACACCATTGCCATTAAGCTGGAAATTCTAAGAGAAAGCGTCTAGATGGAAGCGTACTCGCCCGACACCCACTTACCTGATGAACCTCGTTCCAGCCCTGACTATCCTGTATGCCCAGCGTAGCATGATCGTGCAACAGACTCTCCGTTATCTTCGCCTCACACTTGCGCGTAATCGAAATGTACAGGGGCGTAATGCCACGCCCATCTCTGTAATTAGGTGAGGCTCCCAACTCGAGTAGCGTACTGGGAAGAAAATATGTGTACAAGAAAAGTTCTCAATATATGTATAAGTTAGAGAGTAGTTTTAATTATTCCTAGCAGTTGGATGTTTAAGTTAAACACAAAGAGAAAGTAAAATAAAAAGGCACCATAATTTCAATTCACTAAATTAAGTTTTTTTGCATAAATCGTTTTTATGTAGAGCACCTATTTGATGCCACTTGGGAATAGGAGGAGCAACTCAAAAATTATACATTTAAAAAATAACGATGGTACATATACATACATAAGTACATACAAGTATATGGTTTGTAAGAGTCTTGATCTAGGTATGTATGCTTAAGACCATTCTCATATTTCATATGGACATGTCTATATCGATTAGTCGCACCCTGTACACCTTTAAGGTAGTATGGATGGATTAACAATAGTGAGTTAAATGTACAACGTACATTGATATCTGGGAGTCTCATATAATCTTATTCAGTTTCAGATCTAACTAACCCACTCGAGGTAAATTCTAAATATTTAAATTACGAGTTACATACCTCACTGCCTCTAGAGAATCGTGCTCAACGGCTCGATGTAGGGCCGTGGTGCCATCCTTGGTGCGATAATCCAATAGCGCGCCACCATTGACCAGAGCGATGAGCAACTTATTGGGTTTCTTGGCGCCCGTGGCCACTGTTAGAGGCGTCTCGCCACTCTCCGAACAATGAAAGTTGGGATCGAGGCCTTTGGCACACATTTTGGCAATTTTCTCCACATGGCCACCATTGATGCATTCGAGAAAGCGTCGCAAATTGGCGCGCGTGTGGAGCGCCTTCAGCTGGCGCTCATCGAGCGTGAGCATTTTGTAAACGCGTCTTTTGTATTTGAGCTGAATAGGGAGGGAGCATATTAATCGATGGGCTGTTAATGATTTCAATAGACTCACCTCCAGATAGCCAACAGGTCCATTAAATGGATAGTCGCCCAGGCGTCGCTCCTCATCCAAAAATTTACCGGCTTTGCCATTGGCGGGCGGCGCAAAGAGGCCATAGTTGAAGCTCTCCTTGAGTTCCTGCAAGTGATGAGAACAAAAATAGAAATAAGTGACTTGCTCAACCAACCAGGCGCTATTCACGTGCTCAAGTTGTCAATCTCGCTTGCATAAAAGGATTGCGCGGCATCATAATGTGTAACGACTTCACCAGTCGTATGAACCCGTACTTACAATGTGCTGCTAATGAGCCAGAGTGGATGACAAACAACGGGGTGTATGTAGGTTTGAAAGTCAAAATTAGGGATGGACAAAGGAGCTTATAAGAATCTTTCAGCAAGACCTAATCTAATTTTGCCAACGATCCTTAACACGAGCAGTGGGTCCAATGGACCCATCAGATATCGAGATGTCAGATGTCTAAGCGTCAGATAACTGTATTTCAACTGAAGAATACCGTGTATTTGCACAAAAATATCAAAAGCTACTGTTTAATATATGACTGAGCTGTGAAGCAGGGAAGTTAAATCTTACAATTTTCCTTTTCCCGAGTATAGGAGAAGCTTTTTACAGACAGAGGAATGGACCTAGTCTGCTTTTATAAAATATATTTATACCTAATATCATGTTTAAAAAAATATTCAAAAAACAGTCTGTAGTAATTTTTTTATCAACTCAAATTGTTTTTCTGTGCTCCGAATCGGCCTGCAGATTTGGCCATAACACAAAAGTTTGATATTGTTCATATATGAGACCTCCTCTGAATTTTATAAGACACTGAAAAAGGTTTTGAAATCGTGCTTTATGCGATGATTCGAGCGTTGCGATCAGAACCGAACTCAAAAACGAACTCACATTAGCTCTTTGAGCTACGCCAGGCAACTAGAAGTTTTGTAGAAGTTAAATTCCAGACAAGAACAATTAAATCAATATCGTTCATGTATTATTTCTCATTGAGAAACTATGAATAGTTGTAAAATGTAGTTGATGTTCTTGCACGAACACCCCTTTTTGGTCACGTACCCAACTCTAGCCAAGAAAGAACCAAGCAGTTGCATTGCAATTTACCTTTTCTCTTTTTAAGTGGCAATTCCTTGTTTTAATTAAACAAAAAATGTTGCCACTAACAAGCAAAAAGTGTCTGACAAACGACGATGTAGACTACTTCCGGCATGGATGCCATCAGGACCCACCCTTTACTAGTGTCGGTCTCAAGTGTATAACTGTGACATTGCCGGAGTCAACTAGGCTGTCGTTGCATTAATTATGCAAAGTGCGTGCCACACACACACACACACGCACACGCACACACGCACACGCACAGAAACATGTGATGGACTCAGAGCGCCCTTGGGTAGGCAATGCATTGGCATTGCGCTTCGTATTTTATACGAGTACTTGTTTCGCTGGCAAGGGGTTGCCATTAGCGACAACTGCGCATAAAGCGCAGTTAGTTCATCATAACCGAAATTTGCATCATTTGTGGGCACATGTGTGAAAACGAACATCATGTAACTCCGATTCTTTGTATCGCACTCACACGATTGCCTCGACTACAGATTCCAGCATCCCCCACCGCTGGAAGCCACCCTCAGCCGACACGTTGCTCACCAATTTCATGATCACATACTGGCACGCTATCCATAACGCCCCCCTGCCCCCCTGCCCCTAGGCTGCTAAGCAACCACCTAACCATCCAGACACTCACACACGAACAGAAATTCTCAACAACACGTTAACTGTATTCGTGTCTGGCTGTGTGCGTTATGCGCCAAATGGCTTTTATGGCGCCCGTCCGTCTTGAATCCACAACCTCAAAACTCAAAACTCAATCCCAAACCTATGCCCATGCCCATGCCCATGCCCAAGCCCAGGGCCAGGCTGGAGCCACCCGTGCACATGCAAATTGCAGACACGTCGCTGGCACGTAGGCGGGGCTGTTGCGGGCGCATTACTTAAAGTCAAGTTGTTTGCGCAAATTGCATTTTTATGAGTTTTGATTTGGATTCGCAATGCCAACAGTGTGACCAAATTGTAATGGCTGGGAAAATATACAATATACTTGAATTTCGTGTAAAAAGTATCAAATGTATAAGTAGGGCCTGAGAAGAAGAAAATGGGGGAAATGTGACTACACTTTCCACCAAAACTTTTGGATTGCGGTCAGCTAGTTTAGTCAGGCGTGTTGATCTGAAACACCTATATTTCCTAGAGCTTGAGATTACAGGACATTAAATTAATTTTATTATTTCTATAATCCTTCTAAACTTCTTGCTAGTTCATCTTTGTCGAATATTGTTGCTTTAAATATTGGTAACTAATATTTCCCATCTGTATATATCTCGTGGGATATTTAATTCTAAATTCCAACGACTACTAAAATCGATCTGCAAGTTTTATTTGGCGTGTGTTTGGCTCCATCCTTTCCCAACATTAGGCGTGCAACATAAAAAGGGACGACGACGTGGCCATGTGGTGAGGCGTGCAAGAACCGAAGCAAAAAGTAATTTGAAACTTGGGTTGGAGCTTTGAAACCGTTTCGTTCGTTTTGGTTTGCTTTTTTTCTTAATTTTGTTTTGTGTTCCCAGCCATAAATTTCGGGCGAGCATTGAAAATATTCGACATATTTAAAAGGGCGGATATTTGTAAGGCGCAGAGAGGGTGGGAATTGAAGTCATAAATCAGTGGAATGTTTAATAGAGTTTTGCAGCAAGAAACTTCCAAAGCATTCCAAACTTATGAACAGTGCATACAGTTTGGGAAGCACAGAAGCAGCATCGCGGTAAGGCGAAGCGTTGAGAAAAATAAAGAAGAAAAAAGCTACGCATTGAAGTAAATGTCAATGCAACGCGCACTTGTTGCAAACAAGCAACTTCCTGTTCCAATAAGAAGAGCAACAAGAGGACAGCAGCAACAACAACAACAACAAGAGAACAACAAATGTACAATAAAGGCCCAAGCAAGGCCTCATTGATAAATTGTCAAACAGTAGTTGCACTTGTTGTTTGTGCTGCTCTAGCTGCTGCTTTTGCTATTGTTGCTGTTGTTGCTGCAGCAATTGTTTATCCGTTGATTGAAAGCAAGTCATAGCAACAAGCCAGCATTGAGACAAATGGACAGACTGCGGGACAGACAGGCAGGTAAACAGCTTGCACAGTGCCAGCAAAAAGTAAACAGACAACTGCATGTGACTCCGGCACGTTCGGCTTCGGCTTCGAGTTGTTGTTGTTGTTGTCGTTGTTGTTGTTGCTGTTGCTATTACCATTGCTATTGGCTGCTGTGCCGTTTCTAATGACCGCATCGCCGACTGCGTTTCAAGCGTTTCGCTTGGAAGTGGGTCGCACAAGCCGACCGACCGAACCAATCGACCATCTGTTGCCATTGCTGTTGCATTAACCACCGCCAATTCGTAATCTCAGCTCTCTGGCTGCAATTAGAGTTGTTGCTTTGCTAGTAGCTTAGATTAAGGCTAGTGGATTTTGTTGTTGTTGTTGTTTTTTTATTATTTTTATTTTGCACACTAGCCAGCACTTTACATTTATGGGCTCATTAGCGTCAGCATTTTCAAGTAAAAAGTATGGCACACAGTTTGACAGCCACTGCACTGGTTTGTTGCAGTTGCAGCAATTTTTAAATCAGTCCCCGTACGGTTCATTGTACGAGTGCTTCCCACTACTACTCCTCCACTTTAATACATACTCGTATTTATGTAGAGTCTCGAGTTACAGAGTCGAGAGTCAAATGCGTTGACAAAGTCGCAAAGGCAGCAAAAAAGGTAGCAATGATAAGAAATCCGAACTTCACAGTGGAGGAAATCTTGAAGAAATGCATCACAAATTTACATAATTTATGCCAAGCTGCAGGAAAACTGAAGTGCTTAGTTTTTGCATTGTTGGTCTGGATGATTGCTAAGCAGGCATCCTTTTTTTAGGCCTTCTCTCCAACATTAATTTGAGAAAAGAAAAACAGTACTCCTTTCCAATTTTCTTTATCTTCCTTAAGGCAGCTCGAGTCCAGGATCGACCCGTTCGGACGATATGCACCTTCAAAATTCCAAATCGTTAAATTTTGGTGTTTATCTTTAAAAACTTTTGTTTGTGTTTTGTTAAGAGCCGACGGAATTAAAAGTAATCGAAATCTATCAAATATCGTTTTGTTCTTTGTTGTTTTTTAATTGCTTCCTAAAATCTACGATTCGTAAATGAGTTAACAAATAACGTAATGTGACTTTCCTTTTATTTATTTAAATGAAAAGCAACATGGTCTTAGTTGGGTTAGAACAACGCTTACTTGCTTTAACATTTCTTTAATATCTATTAGGTATTATTTCGCAAATCGTGTTTGCATTTTCCACTGTGAGCCGAATAGTTGAAAGGCTCGCTTTTATTGTGGCTAATTCCTTAATCTTTGCTGCTGACCAAGTCGAATTGAAAATAATTCTAAACATTTTTCGTTCACAGTTTTTCCCCCAAATCAACCAATTATGAGCACATATTTGTCGTACAAGATTCGAACTTTAATAAAAGAAATTTGGACTTAGTTGCTTCTAAATAGAACAGTTTTTTTTATTTTAAATATGTTGGTGCGTCTAACCTAAGACCAGCAGGGTATTGAACACTTTAAACGCAAAAGTTCAAGCAGGGCTGAGTAATTAATAGTTTAAATTAAAATATATTCCTCTCAAGTTCTCAACAAATGTTTAGTACAAGTGTCAAATCTAAGCTGAAATTAAATCGAATTTGTAGCATAATTACCCATTTATACTAATTATCCTGTATTAATTCTGTATAAGAAATATGCTGTTTTACACTTAAATCTTTAGCTTTATAGCTTCTAATTCTAATGATGACAAGTTAATCTGTGGGTGTATGAAGCAAGACACAGCTCTTTTCTACTAAATGATGCAAATATTTCATAATTCTCGTAATTATCGAGAAACTACATCGCTTTAGTGCTTTCAAATTTGAAGTGAAGATGAAGGCCCTTTAAGCTGTTTTGCATCACACCCATTGTCCAATGGCATCTGTGCCGTTGTCGGCTGCCTTATCCAGTCAATGCTCCACTCCAAGTTCTGCGGCTCA